TAAGGCGAGAGGGGGAGTGGATTGAAGTAAATGGCCCTGCAGCCATGCCTGCTGCCCGCAGTGTGATTGCCTGCACCAGTACAAGTGGCACAAAAATGCCTGCGTTCCGGTCCAGTGCGATCACAAAAAATTGTGCATGCAGTATTTCTTGCGATCATGCTGGACCAGAACGCAGGCATTGTTGTACCACTTGGTCTTGTGCAGGTGATCGCACTGCAGGCAGGGGTGAGTTTAGTATGTGATGCAATGCGTTCCAGCAGCTAACCGTGCTGGAACGCACTGAACTGTAAGTGGTGTGAACTGGCCCTGAATTGGTGCTGACACTGTCCTTCCTTCTGGAGGGTGGCTACTTTTGTTCCCCATGGTCCCTGTGTGTGTTGTAAAGTAGCCACCACTACAAGCTCGCTCCCGTGATGGACTACAATCTCACGTTTAGTTTACCAAATTGTATTGAGACTGTACACCATCACGGGAATGAGCTTGGAGCGGTGGCAAGGAAGGACAGTGTCGGCACCAATTCAGGGATAATTTCAGGATCTACAGCCCGAATGATACATACCGTAGTTAAGCTACATTTTTGTTAATAGCAAGGGAACTTGAATGCATTTTTAGGATTTAACTCCTGAGTTAGTTGAGTTTAGTGTCACTTAAAGATCTCTTCTGGTTTACAGAACAGCAAGACAGACGTGCAGTTGGGATCCAGAGGCTGCTAAGAATAACATCAAATAAATTACTGGTGTGCAGTTTATCTTGTAACTTGCTATAGCTTCATTAATATGTGTATTACACAAAATAAACTGCAACAACCTCATTTAAAAGGTCTCTTGCAAACCAATCAAGGTAATATGATTGTCATTTTTTGACTTGCAATAGAAAGTGACAGAATCTGCTTGATTGCGAATCTTTCAATGGATAATAATTGAAGTCAGGAGACGGTCATAAACACAGACTCGTATACATCCGTCAGCCAAATAAAAATGTATACACTTTTAAGCAGGAGTGCAGAGTGAAGAGCTCAGAGATAAAGATCAAACATGTTATTTTCATAAAAGCTGTGTCTCTGATGTCTAAAGTAATCCAGTTTGTTATTATGTTCCAGGTATTACTGTGTATTGTGTAGCTTATTGACATAGCGTATTTTTGCATTATTCCAAACTCTCTGCTGTACACATAACTATCAAGGGTTTCTGCTCAAGCTGGTTCATGCTGTATGTTCTGCCAATACTTGCTGCAATGTATCATTATGTTTGACTGCCACCTAGTGGACAAAATCAAATACACAGCTGCAAATAACTTCTGTAGTTTTTGTTGCATTCACTCTTTTTACTCTTTATTCTATATATTTACATTATTTGACTTAATAAGGAATTGCAAAGTTAAGCAGCAAATGATTAAAAACACTGATTTTATGTATTGGAATCATCAGTACAAAGTAAAAACAAATTGTTTGCAGAGATCTGCTAGAGATGCACTTTGCTTATGCCTCTAACCATGCCTCAATAATTATTGATTTAGGCTTTATAGTTAAAAAACTTATCACGTTTTTTTATACCCAATTCTTATTTAAAATAGAAGGCATTTTTTTTCTCACATTTTCCTGCAAATCCTTTTTAGCTTGGCTAAATTATTATGAGGCTGTTAAAGCGTGGACTTGGTAGATTTTTCAGTTCAACTAGCATTAAACGTTCAAACTTTTTTTACAATAATGAATCCAGATCAAATGTATTGTCCGGCAAAGCATTGCTTTATGTTTTAGCCCAAGCACTTAGTCATCATGTTTCTGAACAGCCTCCAACTTTCTCAGTTAAGCTTCCTTGAACGTCGTGTCAATTACAAGGGACAGTGCAGACTCCAGCAGCCATTCATTTACTAGCTTTGAGAAAAGAGGAGTAGGAAGGAGGAATAGGGAGCAGGGGAGTGTCTTGCCTTGCTGTGCTCAGAGGATCAGCTGATTCTGCAGGAAACCTAAACTTTTAAACCTTAAGAAGCAGCATCCATTTTTCTTCAGCATGTAAAATAGCTTAAAAATCCTTTTGACTTTAATATCCATTTACAGTGTGCTTCATAAAGCAGTGCACAAATTAAGATGGTTTGCAAAACTTTAGTTTCTGATGAGCAGAACTGGTATTTCATCTGCAGTATTTTATCCTTTTGGAAAGAGATTTTCATTTCCCAGGAAACTTTGTCTGCCGCTGGCCTATCTGAATGTTGTAATTCAGTGAACTGTTTGCTGCGGCACTTCACATGCTGACTGCAGCCACCAGTCGTCTCTTACTGACGTGGTTCAATCAGCCTAAACACTATTATCCATGGGTCAGTGTACTGTTTTAGCAAAGACCATGTTCTGCTTTAAAAACTCAGTAGGTGGGTCTTTTACTTACAGCTCTGCGATACAAAAATGGCATTAGCATGCAGTCCTTCCTCTCTTTGGAAACTGGTTTATTTAATAGGTTTCCAGGATTGTACAAGTTATCCCTACCTGTACTTTGAAGCCCAATGATGTAACAGATTTATTGAATAATATGGAATAAACTGTAGCATTTTTTTATTTTAAAAAAACAAAACAAAACTGAAGCTGATTAAAATCTGGAGCAGTTGTCGATGGCAACCAATCCGGTTTCATTTTTTAAAGCTTAACTGAACAAGCTGAAGAGAAAAGCTGATCGGTTGCCTTTAGA